TCCTACACGCTTTTCTATCTAGCCTGGTGAATCTAGTTCAGTCGTGGTCCCATCCTACACGCTTTTCTATCTAGCCTGGTGAATCTAGTTCAGTCATGGTCCCATTCCCAATTCTGTAGTCCTGCCTACAATTGTGATGTAGTGAGCAGTCACCAGTCATGCTGACGGTTTCCCTTATATTCCATGACCCATCAAAGGGCCTGATGTAAATCTTTGGACTCCACTGTGGCCTCCTGCCATTGCATTCTCTCATCCAGATGATGAATCTTTTTCTGTAAGGAATCTTTTTCTTGTCTTTGTCCTGTTTAAGGATTCTCACGTTTTTCTACAATTCAGATGTCCTGCCTTTCTGATTTGAAAAAGAAAAGGGAGAGATGAAGGAGTAATGGGATGGAAGGCAGAGGTTGACAGGTCCAATACTCACTGCTGACTTGTAAGTACCTGGACACACTTTCACCCTGACCTTTGAACTTCTGTACTCCAGAATGCTGGCTCTGAGGGATTATTTGGGTGATTAGGTTCCGTGAGGATACAGGAGATAAAAAAAGAATGAGAAGCTCCCCGTGTTTCACAAAAGAAACAAAAAAGTTGTGGGGTGGGGAGAGGGGCATAAACAATTTAAGAAGAGTCTGCTATCGTACAATGCAAACATAACATTTCATTGCTTTAGAAAACCACTGAATCCATTCATGTCCACAGAGAGGGGACTACAACTAGAGCTTGACATTTAAGTCAGGAATTTTTTTCTTGTTCAAAATGTAAGGAACTTTGTCTTTTTGTTTCTCTCTACAAAAAAAAAAAAGCACAAGAACTTAAGATAGGCTCTTGAATGGAGACCTACCTGCCACAATGGAGCATTAAGCTGATGAATCACCACATTCAGCTGATGATTTCTTGCAAAGGCTACAATTGCATCATTGCCAGCAAAGGTGCCAGGCTTTGCCAAACTGGCCACTGCATGGAAATAGGAGAGAACAGAAATGAAGTCTGTATAATGGAAAAACCCACATGCAAAATACGGGGTTTATTTAGTTCCAAATCAAGAACAAGCATCTGAAAAGTCCATTAACCTTGTCAGAGTCCAAGAATTTAGTTAAACACTGCAGACTGCTACTCAGAAGCATTCACTTAGTCCTTCAGTAAACATTTACTGAGTGCTTCCTATCTACCCAGTCTGTCCCAGACACTGACAATGTAGTGATAAACTCAGCAGTCATAATAGTTAGCATTAATGAATGCTTAAATATGATGCACCTCTACTTTAGAGATGAAGAAACTGATGCAAAGAATGATTCAGGCTGTGCCCATGGTCACAGAGCCAGTAGCTGGCAGCGCTGAGATCTCATCCCAGGCAGCCTGGTTCCAAGGCTACTCAACGTTCATTCCTGTCATAGCTTGCCCTCAACTCAGTTAAACTCAGTGGGGAGCAAACCAGAAGGCATGGGTAGAGCCGAAGCACAGGTGCCATGGAAGGAGTACATGGCAGGTGTGATAGGAGCACACCAAAAGAGACTCTAAGTTAGTTCAACAATGAGGTAAGGTGTATCAGATAAGCTTCTTACTGGGACATTTGCACTAATGCCCAAGGGCCCAACAGTAATGTTCCGCTCCGGTTCCCAGCTAGCCAGCATCTCTAAACCCTTCTCCACCTGCGCCGAGTGGAACTGGACACCTAGCTTCTCAAGACTTCTCACAGAAACCTTCCCGCCCCACCCCGCTTCACTGTTCTGCTGCTGCCACAGCCAATGGCAGGAAGCACAGACTCCTTTTACACATAATTTATTTCGGTCCCAAAAGTTTATTAACAACACGGGATTCCTTTGTTCTCTCTTCACCTTCTCGTGTGACCGCACGTGCCTTTGTCTCTTCCCCTCTAGCTCTCTCTTTCTCTCTTACTTTGGGGCATTCTCTCTTCACTGTCTTCCAATCTTCCCTCACCCTGCCCCCTTTACTCTCATTCCAATCTAAACACCCAGGCAGGTCGTTCACTCTAATAAAATCTGTTCATTGAAATCCAAGCTCTGGGTTCACTTTCCTTTTATTCCCACCCTAACAGATATGTAGGAGGAGTAGTCAGTGATGTTCCAAGCAGAGGCGAGCGAGAATGAGGAGTTGGAGGACTGTAAGGTTATGGCAAGAATTTAAACTCCTGAGACAGGGGCAGGGAGAAGAAAATGGTAAGAAATGGGCAGAGAAACTTTTTTAAAGCACAGATTAAGGCGCTTAAAGAGCTTGGTCTCTAGCCTAAGGGCAAGGGGAGCCACCAGTGGGTTTTAAAGAAGAGGAAGGTGTCATTAGATGTACATAATTTTAAGACCACTCTGGCTGCAATGTACAAAATGACTGAAGGGGTCAAGACTGGAAGCAATGAGGCCATCTAACCAGCACTGCCGAAAGCTAGGCAAAAAGCCATGAGGCAACAAGCAGCCAACTAAGTGAGGAGTCAACTAAGTCCACATGGAAGCAGCACACCAGCTTGTGATCCAAGGATGACAACAACAAAATTCAAATATGATGAAGGGAAAAGTATCAGAGCTAAAATTCTGAACACCCAAGTGGTAGAGGCTATGGAGGCAAGTGGGAACCCCAAACCCATCTGCAGAGTAACTAATTCGATTAAGCCCCCCACTAGCCACAGGCATGGGTCCCTAACAGCCTTACTATCAGACAGAGATCATTGTAACCTTGATTATGCTGGATCAAACTTGATACTTGGTCAGTTGACCTCTTGACCCAAGCTGTTTTTTGTTCTAGGTGAGAGAATCTCTTGCATGTTCCATGACAAAAATTTCTTCCCTGGCATTTTAAATATTGAAGGTCTTTTCTTTCTTACTCATTATTTGTATTTTTATCTTTATAGTTATTTTAGCCTTACTACTTTATTTCGATTTTATTTTTTATTGTTTCCATTGGGTTTCTAGTTTGCGAAGCCCAGGAGTGGAGGCACAGAGATAACTGATGCGAGGGTGGATAGGGGACTTAGGGGTGGGAGTCAAGGAGAATGAGGGATTTCAGGAGTAAGCAATGAAGGTGGGAGGGGGGAGGAACACTAGAAATTATTGTGATTACACAACTTGTTTTAAAGGCAATTTAACCGTGGGAGGATGTTCTAAAATTGATTGTGGCAATGATTGTACAATTCTTCTTCATATGACTGAACAATTGAATTGTATGATATGTGGATTAAGTGCCAATAAAAATCTTTTTAAAAAAAAAGACATGAAGGCAGAAAATGAGGCAAAAAGAGCCCTGGTGGCACAATGGCTGAGTGCTCAGTTGTGAAAAGGACAGCGGTTCAAACGCACCAGTGGTTTGACGGGAGAAACCCTATGTGGCAGTTCTACTGAGTCTACGGGGTCATTCTGAGTAGGAACTGACTGAGTGGCACATAGTAGCAGTAACCAGAAGAGAAGAAATGCTGTGGAAATGTGACAAGACTCAATGAATGGCTAATGACAAGGAGGGTGTGAGAGGGAAGCATCAAGAACATTTGGGTTTTGTTGTTGCTGTTTTAGCTTTTATTGTGAATTGGGTAAAATTTTACAGAGCAAATCCATTTTCCACTCTACAGCCCACACACATATAGTTTCATGTCATTCCTTGCAATCCCTGCAATGTAGCATCCCTTATCCCACTTCCTCCCTGGGGTTCTTGTGTCCATTCCACCTCCTTTCCTAACCTTTCTGAACTTTGTCCTGGGGTGAATGCTTTCCTTTGATCTCAAATGATTATTCTACGGTGTGTGTATCAATCTAGTGCTATTCTGCCCCAAAGACCCATCTATAAACTGAACCACAAGGGTAAGTTCAGTTCCAGACTTGAAGGGTGGTTAAGGGCCAGAGAGTGAGAGGTTCTGCCAGTCCCTATCCAGCTAGGAAGTGTCCTTCTCTTTTATATGACTCTGTGTTTGTTCCACATTTCCACCCACCCACCCCACCCACCCCGGACCTTCTAACATGTGGGTATTTGTATAGTGAGGAGAAAGGTGTTGCAGCGTCCCTAAAACCATAGCTTACAGGAAAGGACCAACCCTAGAAGATATGTGGGGGGAGGTCAGATGCGCAGGCATTCCCTCCCCTGAGGGAATCAGTTGCCAGACTGCTGTCTCATCCCTCCACAGGGGTGGGCCTGCTCCCTGCCTCTGGGGACAATGGACAGGCTCCTGTTGGAACCTGGGACCATTAGTTTGGTTCCCGAGGGCGGAGCTTGCACCCTACTGATAATGTTCCTATGGAGACCCAGAGACCACCCCCTAGACCACCCTCTCATTGCTGTGTAACCTATAGTGCAGCCCCTTCCTGTGACGTATGTCTTTACCTGTAATTAGTGGGCTGGATTGCCCCCAAAAGGTATATAGGTGTGAGTCAGCAAGACTTCTCTCTCTGAAGCTGAGCTCCTTGCTGCTCACTCCCTGGTCACTCCCCTCTCCCTTGTTCCCTTCCCCTCCTTCCCTTCCCCCTCTCTCCACGTGGACCACCAAGCTGGGCTGAGGTGAGCAATGTTGCTATGTATCATGCCTGACTGTATTATTGTATTATCTCTCATGCTCTCGATGACTTTAATACTTATATATCTCAACCGTACAATTGTGCATTACTGAACCCAGAAGTAGTATTAATGAATCCGAGTAGTACCAATAGGAGTAGCAGCGGGTGGGGGCTGGCCCCTCACCCTCCCTCAGCGTTATTATTTTTTTTATATAATACTACAAAGATACAATGAGATGCCAGGGTAACCAGGTCCTCAAAATTAGTGAGCACAGTCCAGTCACTTCTCGCCTTTATGCGCAAATTCTTATGTAGCACTAACCATCAGGAATACATAGGGCACTAAAAAATAATAACTTCCCACTGTTTCCTATCCTGCCACATACCCAATCTACCACATAACTTTCACTGACAATGTTCTAAATAGAATTCCACATCGCAGTCTTAAAGCTCATTTCACTGAAAATCATACTTTCATAGAATCAACACTACATTTTATACAGCGCACTAAACTACCTGCCTCACATTCATCCACTGCACTGGCACACTGATGACCATTGGATACACTGTATTCATATGCTGGACAGTTTGTGCCTCCGCAGAGGGACCAAGATCAGAAGCTGATATATATTATCATCTGAGCTTTTCACTCCCCCATCTCTGGTACCTACTGAATCCTGCCTAGGGAAAGGCGAGGGGGTGGGAAAGGCTTGAGGATCACTGACAGTTGCCCTCCATCTTGCTGGCAGTACAGCTACTTAATCATTCTTCAAGCAGCAACTTCACATCACCTTTGAATCTTACCTCTACTCGTGTCCCCACCTCCATTGAGTCCTGTCCATTATACTGCCAAACTGTCTTGGTCTGGACCCTACTAATTAGCCTTAGAGCTGGTGTAGTGGAGATTCTCTTTCCTCAGTTGGTCAATGTGAAGAGCCTACTAACTAGTCTCCTTTCTCAGTTCCTCCCCCCATCCATCTACTCTCAGCATTGTCTCCACCAGTTTCTTTCTGAAACACATGATTATGTCTCTTTCCTAGTGAAGCAGACAGACCTTGAGCCATTTATAAGGCATAAATATAACAGCATATTGCAAACTAGATTCAGAGTATGTATTAAAATGAAAACATAAAAGATCATGTGGAACCAATAAGCACTGTTAACTAACTTGCCTCAAAGAAAACAGCCTGTGGCTGGGTTTTGAGTGAGAAGTAAAAAAATGTCTTCATTGGTCTTTCTGATTATAAAAGCAATACTTGATCATTATTTTTAAATTAGAAAAATCTATAGATCATCTAAAATATGCATAGTCTCACCATCCCCATTACCGTTACTAAGAGCTTATTTTAATTGACTAATTAAATCTTCACAAAACACCTGTGAGGTGCTATCATTATCCCTTTTATGAAGAAATTTAAAGATGGTGAATAATTTCTGGCAAATAAGCAAAGAAAAGAATTAACCGCCATAAAAAGTTGGTATCTTTCCAGACTTTATTTTAACTCGTATATGTGTACACACATTCTAAAAATGAGATCAATCTGTACACACTACTTTGTAAGCCGTTTTCCCTGACTTGATGAGAATTCATAAACAGCTTTTCAGGTCAATTAATAGCATCCTGTTTATGAAGGGCATATACATCTCACCCAAATACCTAGCATATTACCTGGACAGAGTAAGCAAGTAAGTATTCGTTGAATAAATGAATGCCATAATTTATATAACCAAATCTCTGGCTAGGATTGTGGAGAACGCTGATGGATTTAACTCCTGGGGAGTGCAGTATCCCAGTGAACCTACCATGCTTCTCAAAAGGAATATCATCTTCTACAAAGGGCTCAAAATCCCCACGCTGCTTGACCATGTAGTCCACTGTCTCCTGCCGGTGTCTGAGATGATTCCGAGAGTGTCCTTCCAGTTGGTCACCAAGGGCTCGGAACAAGCAATTACTGTCAAAACAAAAGTGTTAATCAAGATCTTTTAAAAGCGAGCTCAAAACTAAAAACCAAGCTCACTGGCATCAAGTCGATGACAACTAACAGTGACCCTAAAATGAAATCAGTTCATCTAAAATAGTGGTTCTCAACTTTCCCAATGCCTCGACCCTTTAATACAGTTCCTCAGGTTATGGTGACCTCCCAACCATAAAATTATTTTCTTTGCTACTTCACAGCTGTAATTTTGCTACTGTTATGAATCAGGTGACCCCTGGGAAAGGGTTGTTCGACCTCCAAAGGGGTGTCGACCCCCAGGTTCGACCCAATGATGCTTCCAACTAGGCCATCCACACAGAAGGGATCAAGAAAGCTGCCACCTCTGGAGATCCAAGATTCCACTGCTGCATTCTATAAGGAGGTGGTGCTACACTAAGCACCTAAGGACAAGAGTCCCATCCTTATAAGCCACTCCGTCCCTGAAGGTTGTGACTCCCAGAGTCCCTTCTAAAAGGATCAAACTGATTGCCTCTTCTCTGAAACAAGTTTCACTACAGTTACAAAGACAGCAATTTGCCAATTTCCTAACATAAGTTAATGAATTCAACAATAATCAGAGGGTTTGATCCTAGCAACACAGAGGAGCGAACCATGAAAAGGAAGACCCTTCGACAAGGAACAGTTGTACTATACGGTGACACTCCCTCCCCAACCCAGGTACCCTACTTCACCTCTCACCCAGAGAACATCGCTGTGGCTGTTCCTGCCAAGTGAAACTTAAACATCGTTTTAGGTTTTCTCGCCCTAAAATTTAAATGTTAGCGATTAAGTATGAGTTAGCTTTCGTTTTGGTTCCCTGAAAGACTTGTCTAATTCCAAACTATATCCCAGACACAGAGGCCCTGCTACATAGAGACTAAAGCAAGCAAACACAATCAGGTCATCCTTAAAACTAAGGAAATGTGAAACCAGTTTCCCAGTCTTACAAACTGTTTACTCTTCTAATAAAACCCTACTATAGTCTATAGAGAGTAATGTAATGTAGGGCTACATTTATACAGTGAACCCTCGTTTATCGTGGTTAATCGGTTCTAGACCCTACCGTGATAAATGAAATTCCGCGAAGTAGGAGTCCTTATTTGTAAATCAAATATTTTCGTAATTAGAGCATAGAGGACATGAAAAAACACCCTTTAGTCACCATTACACTCGTATTACCCAATTTATTAAACGAAAAAGGGAAAATACAGTAAAACATTTTGGACGTTACAATTATCATTTATTATTTATTATATTATTTATGGCATCAAGCGTGTACAGTATGAGCCAATTAGTGGCAATAATGACAGAGCATGCACTGTTACCCAAAAACCGCGATAGAGTGAAGCCACGGAAGTCGAAGCGCGAAGTGGCGAGGGTTCACTGTAGATACAACTAAATCAGACAGATACTAACAATGTACTGCCTAATCCAATTAGAGATTTGTTTCCCAATGTATCCAACTATGCTTTTAAAGAGTAACATGAAGGTTAAATTATTTCTTTGCTCTGCAACTGGCTCCAATTTACATGACTCCACCCACATCAGTTATAAAGGTGGCCATGATGCCATTACAAAGGCCCACAATTAGTTCCACAGTCTCTGTTAAACTGGTACAATATACATAAAAGCTACAAAAAGGACACCAATTAATCCATCCCCATGTTTCAGATTGCTGCACGTACCACACTGCCAACAATGAATTTATCCACAACAAAATGGTTACTTCAGGCTACTCAACTGTAACTCAGTAAACCATAATTGTAACTGTAATCAGACAAGAATGAGAAGATAGAAACTGGAGACTGTATTTTTTTAAATATTACCATAATTATATTGCCTTTCAGGGTACTCAGTGAAGTATTAACAGCTAAGAAATTTTGTTGACAGAAGCCAGGAGTCACATACACAGGAAGCGCCATCCCCAACAGTGGCAAAGCCTGACATCACCACATCCAAAAGGGTCACAACACTAAAGAGGGCGGAACAACAGTCCAGGTCATGGTAACCTTGGAAAGGGCTTGTGAGCAGCGAGGTGTTAGCTTCAAGAAGGCCACATCAGGGGAATTCAAAGAACAGGTTATTTTATCCAACTGCAATGGTCCACAAAGATCACAGATCTAAGAAGGATGGGATGAGAGTATTCCAATCGAGCTGGTCCCTGCAGCCTCCCGGTCCACGACTTTGACCTGGGTACCCAGTGCTCTTATCAAGCTAAACAAGTTGTACATCTCCTAAAAACGTGTTCCTCTGCCTTTCACACACTATCTTATCAGCCTGGAATGCTCTCGTGGCATCTTCTGACCAGTCCTACAAGATCCAAATGAAGAAGGCATCTACCCTTTCACCCTTATTCTCTCACAAGGGTAATTTTCCCAAAGCTTCATCATCTGTGATGAGGGTGTAACTCAGGCAGCTACTGGAATGTCTGTACACCTGTGTTTTAAAAGGTTCTCATGTTTATCTCTTTAATACAGTAAGTACATCCAACTCCCATCACCAAAAGCTCCGAGTTCTACGTAATTTTTTAGAATATAAAGTTTGAGACCTACTGTTAGATGTGTTTCTCCTTTACTGGGACATGAACTTAAGAGTATCTTAGTCAACATATTCTCAGAACCTTGCTCAGCCAATATTTGCTGAATTAACTGAAAGTAAGCTCTCCTGGGAAGGTGGGGGGCACAGAGTAAAGAGAAAGGGAGTAGTTAGTACCCCAGTTTCCAGAGTTTTATGAAAGGCCACAAGACTACATAATCCCGAATGCTGACTCCCGCTCACAGGTAACCCGTCTTCGAAGAGCTTCAATTTCCTGGGCACTCTGATAATGGGAATATCAGGACTAGCATAATGGACACAAGCAATATAATTGTTTGCAAGAAAGAGCACTACCTCAAACCCACCATATTCAACTGATATATTCGTTTACATAGCAGTGTCGTATGCTTGTCTGATGAGCGTATGCAAGGCCTTAAATAGTTAATAAATTTGAGTGCATACTTGTCAAATGAGGGCCACAGACTCAGGGTGAGACTCGGCAAAACAAGCCTTGAACTGTAATAACCCTACCAAGAAAATGCCTCTGAGGGGCCCTGCTGAATGGGCAGCTGACCTCATTTTTATCACTCACTCAACGAAAATGTACTGAATGCCTTATATGTCTCCAGCGCTTGGACAGTTGGTGGTGAATAAGATGCAATCAAGTACTAATTGCCACTTACACAAAAACACAAGGCAGGAGAGGCGACTAACCTCTGTAGCAGGGACATCCAACTCGCCCCAGCACTGGGCAGGTGAGGGCGGCTTCCAAATGTTGAGGGGAAAACCCCAGTATCTTTTAAGGCCACCTTTCCCATGAACTTTCCAAAGCCCCCTTGTATGCAGGCTAGGAAAGACGGGAAAGGTAAATCAGGGCCAGTTTACAGTCTTGATTAATAAAGCCGTGTGGTGTGAAACAAGCCAATTCTGGGCGCTCTGGCGAAGTAGCTTTAGTCTTCCCTCGGGCCAATCTGGCCAGCAAAGGCAGGGAGGAGAAACGCCAGCAGGGAGGGACGCCGTTAAGGGGGGGCAACCAGAAGCCTTTTCACCTGAGCCACGTTTAGGGACAGCGGCCTGTCGCCCTTCCCTCTTCTCTAATCCTTTTCCTCTCCGATCCACACCCTGCGCCAGCCAGGGGGTACGTGCTGGGCTGCTCACAAGCAGCAGCTGGCAACAGTCTCCGAAACGCAGAGGCAGGCAACACCTGCGCTTACAAGGGAGGCCCGTAAGAACCAGTCCTTCGCAGACCTCATTCCCAAATGTAAAGGCGGCAGCAGGCCACCAACAGTCAGGAGCACGGCGGGGCTTTCTGAACGCCATTACCACTGCTGTGCGCGCGGTTCGGCTCTCCGAACGACAGGTCTCGGCTTACATGTCACCTTCCAGGAAGGCCCCACCTGGCCATCTACCTAACGTCCACCTGCCGCGATGGTCACTCTCCGTGCCCCCGTGCGGCGCCCGCCACGATTAGGACCCTGCGGGGACATCCCGGGCGGAGGGCCCTCGCTCGCCCTAGAGCCCCTGCGCTCCAGCGGCGGCCGCCGGGATGAATGAATGGATCCGACGAAAGCGGGCGACGGTCGCCA